TGATGAAGTATCCGTCAACTATTTCATTTGGTTCTAAAGATATTTTTTTTTCTGAAAAAAAAAATAATTTATACTGACTGCAATTCCCCATTTGCCCCTATATATATATATATATAGGGAAGAATGGAGGAATTGCAATCAGTAAGAATTATTTTTATTTTCTGAAAAAAAAATGTCTTTAGAACCAAAATGAATAGTTGTCGGATACTACATCAATCATTCTTCGAAAGTGGAAGCATAAAAGTTAAGAAAGCTAATATATAATATATATACATAATATATATATATATGTATATATATATATATATATATATGTATGTATATATATATATATATATATATATATATATATGTCAATAGGCTATTTTGGCGACATCAAAAAATCAAACATTTTATGGTATACATAAGAGTACATTGACTCCCTGACGTATACATTACTTATAATTTCATGATAAAATGCACTGGTACAAATGTATAAGCAATTAAGTATAGATCGGTTAGTACAGCGACAGTACCAAGTTATGTATAATACATTATATATTTCGGCTATTTTAACGACATCATATTTTCCATAAAACGGTTATTATGACGCCACTCCAAAAATAAATAAAAATATAATAGCTATATCATTCATAGAATATACAAGCAATCAAGATATACAGGGTGAACCATTTAACCAATCCACGCAATGATAAAGGATAAAGGATTGATTAAAATGGTCCACCTTGTATATAGGAGAAGATGCAAATGTGGCCCGTGCTGATATATTGATAGTAAGTATTTGTAGTTTATGTATCAAATATAAAAAGTTCAAATCTAAAAAGTTCATAAAAAAAAATAAATCATAACCTTGAAAATATTACTTTTCGCACTTTTTCTTATACCAATATATAAAATCTTTTGAGGTTCGGTTAATTTTTTTATAAACTCTTTAGACTCGACCGTTTTCATATTTGTTACATAAACTAGCCTTAAGCTTTAGTTTAAACTGTCGAAAAAATTTGTATCAATCCCAATTAAAAGTTATATCTTATTGAAACGTGTAATAAATGCCCTTTTTCGAATTTTCAAATTAAGATATCTTAAAAACCTGACATGCCACAGTTACATCTTCTCCTCTGTATATCTTGATTGCTTGCATATTCGATTAATGATATAGCTATTCAAAAGAAGAATTTCTATATTTGCTTTTGGAGTGTCGTTATAATAACCGTTTTACGGAAAATATGATGTCGTCAAAATAGCCGAAATATATAATGTATTATACATAATTTTGTATTGTCGCTGTACTAACCAATTTAAGTACAAAATTATGTATAATACATTATATTTTGGCTATTTTGACATCATGTTTTCCATAAAACAGTTATTGTAAAGATATTCCAAAAGTAAATAAAAAAATTCTTCTTTCGAATAGCTATGTCATTCATCGAATATGCAAGCAATTAAGTTATATAAAAAAGGTGCACATATAGCCCGTGCTAATATATTGGTAGTTGCTATTTGTAGTTCATGTAACAAGTATGAAAAAAATCGAATCTAAAGAATTTATAAAAAAAGTAAATCATATCATGAAAATATTATTTTTCCACTTTTTCTTATACCAATATAAAGAATCTTTTGAGGTATGGTTAATTTTTTTATAAACTCTATAGATTCGAACTTTTTCATATTTGTTACATAAACTACAGTCTCAAGCTTTATTTTAAGCCGTCGAAGAAATTTGTGTCACATCCCAATTAAAAGTTATACAATATCTTACTAAAAAATGTAAAAAAATGCCCTTTTTCGCATTTTTAAATTATTATATCTCAAAAACTTGACATGCTTCATTCGTACCTTCTCCTCTATATATCTTGATTGCTTGCATATTCGATGAATAATATAGCTATTTAAAAGAAGGATTTCTTTATTTGCTTTTGGAGTGTCGTTATAATAACCGTTTTATGGAAAATATGATGTCGTTAAAATAGCCGAAATATATAATGTATTATACATAACTTGGTACTGTCGCTGTACTAACCGATCTAAGTATAATATTATGTATAATATATGTATATTTCGGCTATTTTGACGACATCACATTTACCATAAAACATTTATTATAAAGACATTCTACAAGTAAATGAAAAAATTCTTTTAAATAGTTATATCATTTACCGAATGTGCAAGCAATCAAGATATATAGAAGAGAAGGTGCAAATATAATCCGTGCTGATATATTGGTATTTGTAGTTTATGTAACAAATATGAAAAAGTTTGAATTTATAGAGTTTATAAAAAAATTAAATTTTAAGATAAAAAATATTATTTTTTGCACTTTTTCTTATACTAATATATAGAATCCTCTGTTCTTGAAGTTCGGTTAATTTTTTTATAAAGTCTTTAGATTCGACCGTTTCCATATTTGTTACATTAACTAGCCTTAAGCTTTAGTTTAAGCTGTCGAAGAAATTTGTATCAATCTCAATTAAAAGTTATATCTTATTCAAACGTGTAATAAATGCCCTTTTTCAAATTTTCAAATTAAGATATCACAAAAACCTGACATGCCACAGTTACATCTACTCCTCTGTATATCTTGATTGCTTGCATATTCGATTAATGATATAGCTATTCAAAAGAAGAATTTCTATATGTGCTTTTGGAGTGTCGTTATAATAACCGTTTTATGGAAAATATGATGTCGTCAAAATAGCCGAAATATATAATGTATTATACATAATTTTGTATTGTCGCTGTACTAACCAATCTAAGTACAAAATTATGTATAATACATTATATTTTGGCTATTTTGACATCATGTTTTCCATAAAACGGTTATTGTAAAGATATTCTAAAAGTAAATAAAAAAATTCTTCTTTTGAATAGCTATGTCATTCATCGAATATGCAAGCAATTAAGATATATAAAGAAGGTGCACATGTAGCTCGTGCTGATATATTGGTAGTTGCTATTTATAGTTTATGTAACAAGTATGAAAAAAATCGAATCTAAAGAATTTATAAAAAAGTAAATCATAACATGAAAATATTATTTTTCGCGCTTTTTCTTATACCAATATAAAGAATCTTTTGAGGTATAGTTAATTTTTTTATAAACTCTTTAGATTCGAACTTTTTCATATTTGTTACATAAACTACAGTCTCAAGCTTTATTTTAAGCTGTCGAAGAAATTTGTATCACATCTCAATTAAAAGTTATACAATATCTTACTAAAAAGTGTATAAAAATGCCCTTTTTCGCATTTTTAAATTATTATATCTCAAAAACTTGACGTGCCACAGTTACATCTACTCCTCTGTATATTTTGATTGCTTGCATATTCGATTAATGATATAGCTATTTAAAAGAAGAATTTTTATATGTGCTTTTGGAGTGTCGTTATAATAACCGTTTTATGGAAAATATGATGTCGTTAAAATAGCCGAAATATATAGTATTATACATAACTTGGTACTGTCGCTGTACTAACCGATCTAAGTATAATATTATGTATAATATATGTATATTTCGGCTATTTTGACGACATCACATTTACCATAAAACATTTATTATAAAGACATTCTACAAGTAAATGAAAAAATTCTTTTAAATAGATATATCATTCACCGAATATGCAAGCAATCAAGATATATAGAAGAGAAGGTGCAAATGTAATCCGTGCTGATATATTGGTATTTGTAGTTTATGTGACAAATATGAAAAAGTTTGAATCTATAGAGTTTATAAAAAAATTAAGTTATAAGATAAAAAATATTATTTTTTGCACTTTTTCTTATACTAATATATAGAATCCTCTGAGGTTTGGTTAATTTTTTTATAAAGTCTTTAGAATCGACCGTTTCCATATTTGTTACATTAATTAGTCTTAAGCTTTATTTTAAGCTGTTGAAGAAATTTGTATCACATCCCAATTAAAAGTTATATATCTTACTGAAAAGTGTGAAAAAGCCCTTCTTTCACATTTTTAAATTAATATATCTCAAAAACCTGACATGCCACATTCGCACCTTCTTCTCTATATATCTTGATTGCTTGCATATTCGATGAATGATAAAGCTATTTAGAAAAATAATTTTTCTATTTGCGTTTAGTATGTCGTTATAATAACCGTGTTATGGAAAGTATGTTGTCGTCAATATAGCCAAAATATATAATGTATTATACATAATTTTGTACTGTCGCTGTACTAACCGATCTAAGTACAAAATTATGTATAATACATTATATTTCGGCTATTTTGACGACATCATATTTACCATAAAACATTTATTATAACGACATTCTATAAGTAAATTAAAAATTCTTTTAAATAGTTATATTATTTATCAAATATGCAAGCAATCGATATATAGAAGAGAAGGTGCAAATGTTATCCGTACTGATATATTAGTAGTTGGTATTTGTAGTTTATGTAACAAATGAAAAAGTTTGAATCTAAACAGTTTATAAAAAAATTTAGTTATAAGATAAAAAATATTTTTTTTGCATTTTTTCTTATACTAATATAGAATCTTGTGAGGTACGATTAATTTTTTATAAACTCTTTAGATTCGAACTTTTTCATATTTGTTACATAAACTACAGTCTCAAGCTTTATTTTAAGCTGTCGAAGAAATTTGTATCACATCCCAATTAAAAGTTATATCTTACTAAAAGGTGAAAAAATGCCCTTTTTTGCATTTTTAAATTATTATATCTCAAAAACCTGACTTGCTACATTCGCACCTTTTCCTCTATATATCTTGATTGCTTGCATATTCGATGAATATGATATAGCTATTTAAAAAAAGAATTTCTTTATTTGCTTTTGGAGTGTCGTTGTAATAACCGTTTTATGAAAAATAGGATGTCGTCAAAATAGCCGAAATATATAATGTATTATACACAACGTGGTACTTTTGCATAGACGCTTAAGCGTAAGCATAAGAATCTTGATTGGTCTATAAACATATGCAAGAGTGTGTGCTCCCACTTAAGAGTGCCGTGTAAACGTACATACTGATTGTCAATTGTCGACGTCGGTCTTGCTGGCCATTTTGAGAAAGTAAAAAAAGCGGGAAGGAACAGGAGGCCATTAGCCATTAGTAATTCGTGATACTGGTTCATTTTCCAAAATGTATAGTTTAGTGAAATTTTATGACGGTATACATTATGTATGCAAGTCGAACACAATTAGTGTTAGTAAAGGAATTATCAAAGCCACGTATAGCAATCGACGCAGATACACAGCAAATATTCTAGCAAGAAATGGTAAGTAGCAATATTTTTCATTTTTAACTGTTACGTTATTGTAAAAACTGTTATATTAAAGTCATGCCGCTGTTATACAATATCTACATTTGCTACGATATTTATATGTGTGCGTGCGTACGTGTTGCGTGTGTGTGTGTCTAGAGAGAGAGAGAGAGAGACAAAAAAATTTGAACTAAAACTAATTAATTTTATTTTAACTTGTTCAGATAAGGAATCAGTATTAAAACAAATAGTAGAAAATATAATTGAAGGAAAACCGTATATTATATGCAAAAGAATTAACTTTGAAAACAAAAAAGTAAATAAATTTGGAAATGATGATGCTCAAGTACACTTAGGTGAGTTTCCTTAATATTAGTAAATTGTATGATCGCTATTTTAAGCGTGGTCTACAATAGCAGTAAGTAAGCAGTAAGAGTAAACAGTATGAAATTGGATTGCCCATTTCGTCGGGAGTAATAAAATGAACAAACCTCATTTTGTACTGCTTACTCTTACTGCTTACTGCTATTGTAAACCACGCTTTATAATAAATATATATTAGTGTAGTTTTGCTTCTTACTTTTATATTATAGATAATAATACAAGAATAAGATCTATCGATGAAAATATTTACAACAATGTGACTGCCTCGCAAGAAAAAGGCTGTGAATCTTTTGTAAATGATGCTGAAATGCTAGGTGAGCTTCCTTAATATTGATAAATATTATAATTGCTATTTTATTATAAATACTTGATAATAATGTAGTTTTGCTTTTTACTTTCATATTAGATATTAATACAAAGAAAGGCTCTGTCGATAAAAATACATGCTTCGAAGAGACTGCTACACAAAGAGAAAACTGTGAATCTCTTAAAAATGATGATGCTCAAGTACTATTAAGTGAGTTTCTTTATATTAACAAATTTTATGACAGATATTTTACAATAAACATTTATTAATGTAGTTTTGCTTCTTACTTTTATATTATAGATAATGATACAAGAATAGGATCTATCGATAAAAATATATACAACAATGAGACTGCCTCGCAAGAAAAAGTCTGTGAATCTTTTGTAAATGATGCTGAAATGCTAGGTGAGCTTCCTTAATATTGGTAAATATTATGATTGCTATTTTATTATAAATACTTGATAATAATGTAGTTTTGCTTTTTACTTTCATATTAGATATTAATACAAAGAAAGGCTCTGTCGATAAAAATACATGCTTTGAAGAGACTGCTACACAAAGAGAAAACTGTGAATCTCTTAAAAATGATGATGCTCAAGTACTATTAAGTGAGTTTCTTTATATTAACAAATTTTGTGACAGCTATTTTACAATAAACATTTATTAATGTAGTTTTGCTTCTTTCTTTTATATTATAGATAATGATACAAGAATAGGATCTATCGATAAAAATATATACAACGATGAGACTGCCTCGCAAAAAAAAGGCTGTGAATCTTTTGTAAATGATGCTGAAATGCTAGGTGAGCTTGCTTAATATTGGTAAATATTATAATTGCTATTTTATCATAAATACTTGATAATAATGTAGTTTTGCTTTTCACTTTCATATTAGATATTAATACAAAGAAAGACTCTGTCGATAAAAATACATGCATCAAAGAGACTGCTGCACAAAGAGAAAACTGTGACTCTCTTAAAAATGATGATGCTCAAATATCATTAGGTGAGTTTCTTTAATATTAGCAAATTTCATGAATGCTATTTTACAATAAACATATATTAATATAGTTTGCCTCTTACTTTTATATTATAGCTGATGATACAAGAATAGCATTTATCGATGAAAATATATACAACGGTATGACTGCCTCGCAAGAAAAAGGCTGTGAATCTTTTGTAAATGATGCTGAAATGCTAGGTGAGCTTCCTTAATATTGGTAAATATTATAATTGCTATTTTATTATAAATACTTGATAATAATGTAGGTTTGCTTTTACTTTCATATTAGATATTAATACAAAGAAAGGCTCTGTCGATAAAAATACATGCTTTGAAGAGACTGCTACACAAAGAGAAAACTGTGAATCTCTTAAAAATGATGATGCTCAAATATCATTAGGTGAGTTTCTTTAATATTAGCAAATTTCATGAATGCTATTTTACAATAAACATTTATTAATGTAGTTTTGCTTCTTACTTTTATATTATAGATAATGATATAAGAATAGGATCTATCGATAAAAATATATACAACGATGAGACTACCTCGCAAGAAAAAGGCTGTGAATCTTTTGTAAATGATGCTGAAATGTTAGGTGAGCTTCCTTAATATTGGTAAATATCATAATTGCTATTTTATCATAAAAACTTGATAATAATGTAGTTTTGCTTTTACTTTCATATTAGATATTAATACAAAGAAAGACTCTGTCGATAAAAATACATGCATCAAAGAGACTGCTGCACAAAGAGAAAACTGTGACTCTCTTAAAAATGATGATGCTCAAATATCATTAGGTGAGTTTCTTTAATATTAGCAAATTTCATGAATGCTATTTTACAATAAACATATATTAATATAGTTTGCCTCTTACTTTTATATTATAGCTGATGATACAAGAATAGCATTTATCGATGAAAATATATACAACGGTATGACTGCCTCGCAAGAAAAAGGCTGTGAATCTTTTGTAAATGATGCTGAAATGCTAGGTGAGCTTCCTTAATATTGGTAAATATCATAATTGCTATTTTGTCATAAATACTTGATAATAATGTAGTTTTGCTTTTTACTCTCACATTATATATTAATACAAAGAAAGGCTCTGTCGATAGGAATACATGCATCAAAGAGATTGCTGCACAAAGAGAAAACTGTGACTCTCTTAAAAATGATAATGCTCAAATATTAGGTGAGTTTCTTTAATATTAGCAAATTTCATAAGTGCTATTTTATGATAAACATATAATATAGTTTTGCTTCTTACTTTTATATTAGATACTGATATGAAAATAAGATCTATTGATGAAAATATATATAATGATATGAAAATAAGATCTATTGATGAAAATATATATAATGAAAAGGCTGCCTTGCAGAAAAAGGCTATGAATCTTTAGAGATCAATGACTCGCAAATATTAGGTGAGTTTCCTTAATATTAACTAAAAATTTAAAGTATCCCACATTAATGTTATGTGAAGTGTCGGTTAAATCAGCTGGTTTTTTAATATGTTGTAGCTTATAATCTATTGAAAAAAATGTAATAGGCTCAAAGCTAAATAATAGGTACTGATTTATACAATCAGTCAAATATGAAATACTCGGGCTTTGCGAACTGCTTGCCTGGCTATACTCAATAATTGTTTATTAATTAGCCTTGAGATTATTGCATCTTTTGTTCAACAGATCATAAGCTACATTTGAAAAAAAAACAGCTGGTTTAACTGAAATTCATTTCACATAAGATTAATGCGAAGTACTTTCATAACTATTATTTTAGCATAATTATTTGATAATAATTCAGTTCTGCTTTTATATTAGATATTAATACATTGATAAATGCTATCGATAAAAATGAAAATATTGGTGAGATGCATATCAAAGGCTGTAATTTCCTGGAAAATTCTGGAATTTTAATGACTATAGGTAATTTTTTTCAATATTAATCACAATATTTTCACAAAAGTTATTCATAATGGTGTTTGTTACATATATTAATTGCTACATATTACAAAGTACATATTACTAAATAATTGCAATGTTTTATCAATATCATTTTTCTTAATTTTTTTGATAAGCAATAGTTAAAATTCAGAATTATTTTATGTAAAAATAATCGCTACTAAAGAAAAAAAATCATTTAGTTGAAAATAAATATTGTCATTTTTAGTGTATATATAAATACGTTTTCTCTCTCTCTCTTGCTATTCTTTTATGATTTTAGTAATTTTTAATAAAAAATGTAAAGCTAAAAAATATTGTTTTTATTTTCTTTTATGACTATATTTTTAATAAAATGTAAAGCTAAAATATATAAAATATATAAAATTTAATTTTATTTTTTAATATTTCGGTTAATTCACATCTAGTAATTCGGCATTTATCAATTTCAATATGTATGCACTATTTTAATAATATATGGTAATAATATATATTTTTCTAGCATCTCCTTATGGCAAAACCAAAAGGCAGCGTTGGACAGAAAAAGAAAAAGAAACAGTACTTCAAGCATTTTCCACACATATGAAAAACTTAACGCTACCGTCTTTACGAGAAATTCAAGAAACTAAAAAGAAGTATAGTTGTTTATTTAATCGGACATCGCCGCAAATAAAAACATGGATCCATAATAAACAGAAAGCTCTACGACAATATGAATAATGTCATTCTGGTAATTGCAACTGCTTTGAATTCTTGTTTATTTCATTAGATAATATTTTAAAAAATGTTTTCTTATCATTTAATTAATACTTCAAACATAATACTTCAAATTTATTTTATATTCTTTCAAGATGTCAGTTTTCGACAAAATTTACACCGATAATGAAGGTTATTGAAAGTTGCAAACAATATAATTGTAGCTTTTAATTTTTTATGAATTTTTTGTTTTGTTTATTTTGAAATATTATTTTTGTTTTAGAAGCATAATAGCATGCTACATATAAAACGAAAATATAAGTATAATATAATACAATAGTTTGAAAAAGAATTTAATTTGCAAATATATATGTATACATATGACCTCTAGTGTATCATAAGACTGCTATTCTATTGTAATTTATTTATTTTTCGTGATACACACACAAGACGGTATTGTGGACATTTTGTTGACTAACTGTACTTTTCTATTATATATACAATATTATTTATTGTATTACAATATGTATATTATATATAATAATTATTATATCACAAATGATATATATGTATACATATATATAGATAATATGTTACATATAAGTAGGTTACATATTTATCTTATTTATAGCTTTTTATTATTACAACATGCTCATTTAGCGAACAGATGAAGATATTTATGTTCCTTGGAGGACTTAGGTTAGTGCGGACTATTTCTAAAAGAAGATAGCCTCAGTACTCTTAATTTTAGACCAATGAGTGCTGGGACTGTCCTTAGTCGAGGACAGAGTCCGCATTGGTCGACGTCCTTGATCGAACTTAGACCAATGGGTGCTGGGACTGTCCTTGATCGAGGACAGAGTCCGCATTAGTCGACGTTCTTGATCGAACTTAGACCAGTGGGTGTTGGGACTGTCCTTATCGAGGACAGAGTCCGCATTGGTCGACGTCTTTGATCGAACTTAGACCAGTGGGTGCTGGGACTGTTCTTGGTCGAGGACAGAGTCCGCATTGGTTGACATCCTTGATCGAACTAATATTAAAAATTATCATGTTTTTATTTGCGGCGATGTCCGATTAAATAAACAACTATACTTCTTTTTAGTTTCTTGAATTTCTCGTAAAGACGGTAGCGTTAAGTTTTTCATATGTGTGGAAAATGCTTGAAGTACTGTTTCTTTTTCTTTTTCTGTCCAACGCTGCCTTTTGGTTTTGCCATAAGGAGATGCTAGAAAAAATATATATATTATTACCATATATTATTAAAATAGTGCATACATATTGAAATTGATAAGTGCCGAATTACTAGATGTGAATTAACCGAAATATTAAAAATAAAATTAAAATTATATATATTATATTTTGCTTTACATTTTATTAAAAATATAGTCATAAAAGAAAATAAAACAATATTTTTTGCTTTACATTTTTATTAAAAAATTACTAAAATCATAAAAGAATAGCAAGAGAGAGAGAGAAAACGTATTTATATATACACTAAAATGACAATATTTATTTTCAACTAAATGATTTTTTTTTTTAGTAGCGATATTTTACATAAAATAATTCTGAATTTTAACTATTGCTTATCAAAAAAATAAGAAAATGATATTGATAAAACATTGCAATTATTTAGTAATATGTACTTTGTAATATGTAGCAATTAAATATGTAACAAACACCATTATGAATAACTTTTGTGAAAATATTGTGATTAATATTGAAAAAATTACCTATAGTCATTAAAATTCCAGAATTTTCCAGGAAATTACAGCCTTTGAATGCATCTCACCAATATTTTCATTTTTATCGATAGCATTTATCAATGTATTAATATCTAATATAAAAGCAGAACTGAATTATTATCAAATAATTATGCTAAAAGAATAGTTATGAAAGTACTTCGCATTAATCTTATGTGAAATGAATTTCAGTTAAACCAGCTGTTTTTTTTCAAATGTAGCTTATGATCTGTTGAACAAAAGATGCAATAATCTCAAGGCTAATTAATAAACAATTATTGAGTATAGCCAGGCAAGCAGTTCGCAAAGCCCGAGTATTTCATATTTGACTGATTGTATAAATCAGTACCTATTATTTAGCTTGAGCCTATTACATTTTTTTCAATAGATTATAAGCTACAACATATTAAAAAACCAGCTGATTTAACCGACACTTCACATAACATTAATGTGGGATACTTTAAATTTTTAGTTAATATTAAGGAAACTCACCTAATATTTGCGAGTCATTGATCTCTAAAGATTCATAGCCTTTTTCTTGCAAGGCAGCCTTTTCATTATATATATTTCATCAATAGATCTTATTTTCATATCATTATATATATTTTCATCAATAGATCTTATTTTCATATCAGTATCTAATATAAAAGTAAGAAGCAAAACTATATTATATGTTTATCATAAAATACACTTATGAAATGCTAATATTAAAGAAACCACCAATATTGAGCATTATATATTTTAAGAGAGTCACAGTTTTTCTTTGTGCAGCAATCTTTTGATGCATGTATTCCTATCGACAGAGCCTTTCTTTGTATTAAATATAATGTGAGAGTAAAAAGCAAAACTACATTATTATCAAGTATTTATGACAAAATAGCAATTATGATATTTACCAATATTAAGGAAGCTCACCTAGCATTTCAGCATCATTTACAAAAGATTACAGACTTTTTCTTGCGAGGCAGTCTCATCGTTGTATATATTTTTATCGATAGATCCTATCTTGTATCATTATCTATAATATAAAAGTAAGAAGTAAAATACATTAATAAATGTTTATTGTAAAATAGCTGTCATAAAACGGTTAATATAACGACACTCCTTAATAGTACTTGAGCATCCATCATTTTTAAGAGATTACATTTTCTCTTTATGTAGCAGTCTCTTCAAAGCATGTATTTTATCGAAGAGCATTCTTTGTATTAATATTGAATATGAAAGTAAAAAGCAAAACTACATTATTATCAAGTATTTATAATAAAATATTATAATATTACTTCAATATTAAGGAAGCTCACCTAGAATTTCAGCATCATTAACAAAAGATCACAGCCTTTTTCTTGCGAGGCAGTCATACCGTTGTATATATTTTATCGATAAATGATTCTTTATATTGCTATAATAAAAAGTAAGAAGGCAAACTATATTCATATATGTTTATTTTATAAATTCTTTAGATTCGATTTTTTCATACTTGTTAATAAATAGCAACTACCAATATATTGAGCATCATCTTTTTTATATAACTTCATTGCTTGCATATTCGATGAATGACATAGCTATTCGAAAGATGTATTTTTATTTACAGATATCTTTCTTTGTATTTATATCTAACATGATGTCAAAATAGCCAAAACTAATGTATTATACATAATTTTGTACTTAAATTGGTTAGTACAATTTACCAATATTATGTATAATACATTATATATTTCGGCATCATTTGACGACATCAATTTTCACAGCCTTTTTATAACGACACTCCAAAAGCAAATATATATTTTCATCGATAAATGCTATTCTTGTATCATCAGCTATAAAAAAAGTAAGAGGCAAACTAATTATTATATGTTTATTGAAAATAGCATTCATGAAATTTATTAATATTAAAGAAATCACCTAATTGATATTGAGCATCACAGTTTTAAAGCTTAAGGCTAGTTTATGTAACAAATATGAAAACGGTCGAGTCTAAAGAGTTTATAAAAAATTAACCGAACCTCAAAAGATTTTATATATTGGTATAAGAAAAAGTGCGAAAAGTAATATTTTCAAGGTTATGATTTATTTTTTTTTATGAATTTTTAGATTTGAACTTTTTATATTTGATACATAAACTACAAATACTTACTATCAATATATCAGCACGGGCCACATTTGCATCTTCTCCTATATACAAGGTGGACCATTTTAATCAATCCTTTATCCTTTATCATTGCGTGGATTGGTTAAATGGTTCACCCTTATATCTTGATTGCTTGTATATTCTATGAATGATATAGCTATTATATTTTTATTTATTTTTGGAGTGGCGTCATAATAACCGTTTTTGGAAATATGATGTCGTTAAAATAGCCGAATATATAATGTATTATACATAACTTGGTACTGTCGCTGTACTAACCGATCTATACTTAATTGCTTATACATTTGTACCAGTGCATTTTATCATGAAATTATAAGTAATGTATACGTCAGGGAGTCAATGTACTCTTATGTATACCATAAAATGTTTGATTTTTTTATGTCGCCAAAATAGCCTATTGACATATATATATATATATATATATGTATATATATACAAAATAATTAACAATAAATTATTAAATTACTAAACTTATTATATAAATTATTTTAATTATACTACATATTGTATATATGTATATACATATAATATACTAATTATATACTATTAAAATATATATATAAATGATTAAACTATTAAAATATTAAACTATAAAATTATTAAACTTTACACTATTTATAATTTTTGCTTTTTGTTACTTAATTTTATATATTTTCTTATTATATTATAATTATTTATCTCAATATATCTTTTTTAATATTCCGTAATTTATATGTTCGAGTTTGAACTAAACATGCAATAACTTTTTGGAAATTTATAATTGATTTGTTTACAAACAACATTTGTTAATTTATCAAATATATTAAATTCTTGATTTAAAAATTACCATGTAAAATGTGGAGTATAAATAAGAAGATAAAGTGATAACATTTCCTTTGCTTGCAGAAGAAAGAAGAGTATTTGTACTGTGAATTTCGAGCAGATTTTCTTCTAACATATTTGTACTTATATACGCACTTCTCTGCTAATTACAAATCTATTATCAAATTAGAAAGAATTATTATCAGAAATGAAAATACGAACGTTAATAAAATATAAGTTTAGTAAACTGCGTCACTTGTCTGTAAGTAAAAAATGTTCCTTTGTTCTAGAATTTCTCATTTTTTATCCAAATGTGTCGAATAATAATAAAATTAAATTATACATTTTTTTATTTGTTATTACTTTAATAAGTGAGTTATTACTTAAGTATAATAGTAAATAAAAATTTAATATAAATACATATATTTCTATAATATAATTTATATATATAAATTATATTTTGCAAATATAGTAATGATTATAAAGCAATGAGATTATAAAGTAAATGAGAATAACTCATCCTACATTTTCGTGTACACATGCAAATGTAGAATGAACTACTCTCGTTTACTAGGCTTCCAAATTGATATCTAAACATTCACTTATATTCTTTTATCCAATGTGAAATCCGGTCTGGTCTAATTTTAGGTAAAAAGCAATCCGTATATATATTTTCACAATTATATTTTCATAGTAAAACGCTTGTAACATATGCTACACCGCCAGACAAGACCGCGCGAAAGCGCTCGCGGAAAACCGTCCGTAAAGTCGTGCACTCATTCGTGCCTTCGCCGCTACGCGGCGTCTTTTCTCGCAGTTAGAATTCCGCTGAGTGAGGATATAAGGCCACGCGCTGCACTGCCAAAACATATTTGTGAATATATACGTATATATGTATACGACCAATGGGTGTCATTAAATTGTTATTGGACACTGTTTAATAGCAGTATTTTATTTTAAATATACTTGGAGACATTTTTGGTCAACAAGTATGTCGGAAAACAACTGTGACTTTTGCGAAAGTAAAGATTTTAGCTAACTCTTTTTAAATTTAAATTCTCATTTTTCAAAATAAAGGACGGTATTCCATAGTCCGTTCTTATATTTAAGACTGTCTTAAGTACAAAGTCTTTTAAGATGCTTTTCTCTTCTTAAGCTTAGTCGGATTCATAATCAAATCTTGATGGTCTTATTTGAATCAAATAAGATCGTGTTTATTAGAAAGTAAGGTTATGTTTTCAAGTCAGTCCGTACATGACTTTAAGATAAGCTTATTATTAAATATTATGGAATTAATGGAAGAAAATTGATGTTATTGAAAAAATATTGATTGATCGTGATTTTCAAGTAGAGAGAGATCGTGTACGAAAATGATACATTCGTGATGGACTTTTTAAAACCCTTTTATAATAATTTACAATTTAAAAGACGCTGTAGATTAATAAGGATTCCTCCTATATGGAATATTACCAAAATTGAAGAAGGATTTTAGCAAAAATTAACAATCGTGGTCTGCCGATTCCACCAGTACAATACAAATTGTTAATATGCTTAAGATACTACGCACACACACACACACACACACAGAGAGAGAGAGAGAGGGGTGTGTCTAAAAATAAATATATTAATAAAATTTATCTTTATTATTTTTATTATTTCATTTACTGGATTATTTTCTTTTTCAGCATCATCAGTCTCATTACTGCTTGAGTCTGTAACATTCAATTGTCATTGTCTCATAAATTCTAAATTCTTATTCATAAACAAATATATTAATAGAAAATATCAATAAAATTAATTATTTTATCATTTGTATGAAGTGTGACAATAGAATCATTATTAACTTCCTGGAAATCATCATCAATAAAGTCTATGCTCTCCACATTTTCAATTAATTCCTCAGGAATACAATTCATTAATATTCTTTGTTGTCGTTCTGAAAAATATTCATTGTTACTATTTTTTCAATTTTTATTATAATATAAATAAATAAAATAAAGATGAAATTACCTTTTAGTATTTTATCTGATAAATTTGATGAAAATAATGTTGGTGCAATTGTCATTAAATTGGGTGCTATTGCGGCAAT